TGGCTGCGTTCGCATGGCGACCTCGGGCCATTTCGGCACACCCCTCACGAGGATCGTGGCCCCATAGGGAGCTCCACCGAAGGCTCCAGTGGCTGCGTTCGCATGGTGGCCTCGGGCCATTTCGGCACACCCCTCACGACGATCGTGGCCCCGTAGGGAGCTCCACCGAAGGCTCCAGTGGCTGCGTTCGCATGGTGGCCTCGGGCCGTTTCGGCACACCCAGTACAGCATTTCGTGGCCCCATAGGGAGCTCCACCGAAGGCTCCAGTGGCTGCGTTCGCATGGCGGCCTCGGGCCATTTCGGCACACCCCTCACGAGGATCGCGGCCTCCACCGAAGGTGCCAGTGGCAGGGTTCGCATGGCGGCCTCGGGCCATTTCGGCACACCCGTCACGAAGATCGTGGCCCCATACGGAGCTCCACCGAAGGCGCCATTGGCAGGGTTCGCATGGCGGCTCGGGCCATTTCGGCACACCCCTCACGAGGATCGTGGCCCCATAGGAGCTCCACCGAAGGCTCCAGTGGCTGCGTTCGCATGGCGGCCTCGGGCCATTTCGGCACACCCCTCACGAGGATCGTGGCCCCATAGGAGCTCCACCGAAGGCCCCAGTGGCAGCCTCTCTTATGGCTCTTAGAGCCCTCTCCTGCTTCTGCTCCTCGGTCAGGGGGGCGCCGTCCTCGTCGTCGTCGGCGCCCGCGAAGACGGCCACGAACGTGTCCCTGAGCATGTCGGGCTCCGGCGGGAAGTTGTGGCCACATCGGGAGCGCGGGCGAAGATGTTATTCACAATTGCGGTAGTCACAACTGCGTATGGTTGGGTCTTTCGCCAGGCTAATTTGACTATGTTGGGGGTGTTTTTTATTTTTCGTCGAAAATCTCCCTGCAGGGGGACAGGCCCGACTGAAGACTAGGTTCTTTTTATTGTTCTTGGATCTGCCTCCTGCAAGGGGGACACTGCCCGAGCGAAAGCCATTGGGGGGAGAGGGAGGAGGGAGGAGGGAGGAGGGAGACTCCCGCTGGGGCCAGGGCGCCCGGGACCGCTGGGCCGAAGGCCCAGCGGGGAAGGGGAGGGGCGGGACGGCCAGCGCCAGAGCACCACGGCACACACGAGGAGCTCGAGCCTCCGATTGAGAGACTTGGCATCGCTCGGACGTGTGCAGTTTTCCTGCGGCGAGGACCATCGAGAAGCATCCTTGATCATTTGGCGAAAAATAAAAAAGCCACGCACGAAACCGAACGAAAACACCGGGAATGGACGTCCGAGCGATGGCCAGGAGAGAGCTCGGTCTTTCAGGCGCTCTGGGCGAGCCTGCGGCGACCACGTCGCGTCTTCAGATCTCTGCAGATTGGCCCGGGTCGAGATGGCAGCGGCCCTCCCTCCTGCAAGGCACAAATGACGATCTCGAGCCTGTGATTGAGACAGCTCATTTTTTCAGGCGCCCTGGGTGAGCTTTCGGCGACCACGTCGCGTCTTCGATCTTTTCGGACTGGCCTGGGTTGAAACGGCTATGGCCCCCCCTCCTGCCAGCTCGCGTGCGCAGAAGCAAGGAAGGGACATGAAAGGAAGGCACCGCTTGGCTGCGCCGCTCTACGTCGAGGAGCCGGCGCTGGACAAAAGAGAGAAGTTGGGACAGAACCATTTTTCTTGCACCGATTTCAGAATAAGCTGGGGACCTATATGAGACTTGAGGTGAGAGCAGCGAGCAACATACGGCCCCTCGGCACTACGTCAGTTGCAGCTAGGTCCCGATCCCGCACTTAGGCCGGTGGTGTGCCGCACCATGCACTGTGAGCCATCCATATATACGAAAGAGCGCGCTTGTGGCGCACTCCCCAGTAAAAGGGGCGCCCAGCTTCAAGCTACCCCCCCCTCCCTTGGAAAAGAGGGGGGGGGGTTCCGAAGCTACGCTCCCCCCTTTAGTGGGCATTTTTTAGCGGGGGGGGGCCTAGCTGAAGGAGGGTGGGGGGCTTCGGAAGCTACCCCCGCCCCCTCTTTGTCGCAGCTGTGATTAGTTTGCCAAGGGGGAGGGGCTTCAAAGCTACCCCCCGTCCTTTTCCGAAGTCCTGAGCCAGCCCTGGCTTACCTTTCAAGGGGGTGGGGGGGGCTTCGGAAGCTACCCCTCCTCCTTTCGCAGCTGAGACTGGTTTGCCAAGGGGGGGCTTCAAAGCTACCCCCCCTCCTTTTTTTTCTCGAGCCCAAAATTAGCCCAGGTTTCCCTTTCAAGGGGCTTCGGAAGCTACCCCCCTCCTTTTCGAAGCTGAGATCGGCGATCCGTTGGTTCTGGGTGCGTTTTTGCTTTTCGGCGCGTTTTTGTTTTTTGGCGCTGTTTTGGTTTTCGGCGCCGCCATGGTTTTCGACGATCGTTTGGTATTCGGCGTATCTTTGGGTTTCGGCGCTTCCTCGTCGGTTTCCGGCGCCCTTTTTAGTGTTCGTCGGCTCTTTGGTTTTCGGCGCCAGTTGGGTTTCGTTGCTCCTTTGCTTTTGGCGCTCTTTTGGTGTTCGGCGTCTCTTTGGGTTTCGGCGTCCCTCTGGTTTTCGGTTCCCTTTGTTTCGGAGTTCTTTCGGTTTTCGGCGCTCTGTTCGTATTCGGCGTTTTCTAGGAGTTTGGCGCCGCCTTGGTGTTCGGTTGTTTTTGCTGCTGCTGTGGAAGCCTGCGTGTGGGCCCTGGCGGTTAAGGCGGAAACTCATGTGGAAAAGGGAGGAGTCACAGCTGGTTTCTCTTGGGATGGCACGAAGTACTATGTAAGCTTTTATCTGGAAGAGCTCAAGCAAAGAAGTTTGTCGGCGGGGCTGGTGCCCGTCATCGTCAAAATGGTTTTTTATTTTTGGAGAGGACCGAGGATTTTGAGGCTCGGAGCGGACCACAGCCGGGCTGTACAGTATGCAGGCAGCGGACTGCCTGCAGGATCGTGCTTCAACACAATTTTTGTTCGAGCGTATGCGATGGAGCCGTTTGACGGCTTTGTTGGGCGCAACCCCGACGTCGATTTGTCGTCGTACATCGATGATGGCACTGTCAGCAGCTATGGGCATAATGAGTCTGTCATAGAATCGCTGGCGCGCGCTCCGACTCACCTCCATGCAGCGTTCACGCAGGAGCTCGGGGTTAACCTGGCCCCAGACAAGTTGATGGCCTTTGCCTCTGACCCCGATACTGCTCGTCGTTGCGGGGAACGGCTCGGAGTTTTGGCGGGTAAGGTGGGCACGCATGTGACCTCCTTAGGGTGTGATTTGGCCCCTGGGGGTAAGCGTAGTAAGAGGAGGCACCTTACCAAGCGGCGAAGACGTTTCCAAGACATGATTAAGAGGCATCGCGTGCTTCAGCGATACCCGAGGGCCCTCCCTCGTGATCGCGGTCGTATGGGTAAGATATACATCGCTGGGGTCAAGCCTGCGCTCACCTTTGGGGACACCATCGTCGGGGTGACCGACGCGGAACTTAAGCGAGCGCGCGGCGTTTCGTTGTCCTTCCAAGCCCCGAGGCACGCTGGCGTTTCCATGCGTGCCAAGGTTGCCCTTGTGGGAGACCCGCTTTGGAGGAACATGGTCGCGCCTGCGCTGGCCTGGGCCCAGGCGGTGTAGAGCGCCGTCACGCGACCTGGCTTTGCGCAGTTCTCAGTGGGACTCGATGTGGAGGGAGGTCAACAGGGAAGGACTCAGCTGGGGGAAATCCAGGGGACCAATCAGCAGGATGCATTTGTCGCTAGGCCGCATAGGCTGGAAGGCGGAGTCGCCGCTGGACTGGATTGATGACAAGGGAGCGGAACATAGTCTAGTGTACACCACCCCCTCCATGGTCAGTTTTCTGATGGAGAAGGGTGTCCAACGACACCACGAGAGGGCCCTGGCCGCGAAACACGGGTGGCCCTCAGGGAGGGGCTCGAGTTTGCGTGGAACCAGTTCGGCGCCTGGTCAACCCGCGTACCAAGGGAATAGGGCTGAGTGCCCACGGCAATTACTTGGTTAAGACTGCTTTCTGCAATGGGTTCTGGACTGAGGATCGTGCGAGAGCCTCAGGATACCTCTGCCTAGGACTTTGCCCGTTGTGCCAACAGCCCGACTCGGTCGGGCACCGTCTCTTCCAGTGCCAGCACCAGGACGTGGTAGCGGCACGCGAGGCGGCGGAAGTTACCGATCAATTATGTCGCGAAGCCGCTAACAGCGGAGATTTACTGTACACCAGTCTCATGATTGCGCATGCCATCTCGAACTGGCCCAGCCCCAGCGATGATCATGCACCACTTTTGTATGATGAGGAAGGCCAGGAGGTGGAGTGGAGTCAGTTTAACAGTGAGGGACTGCATCAGGCGGGAGATGGGTCGTGCATACCTCACACGATATCCGAGTTATCGAGGGCTGCGTATTCTTGGGTCTTCTTTGACGAGTTGGGACGACAGAAGTATATCGCCCGTGGCGCTGTCTGGCCCTCGCCCCCGCAGACAGGTCAGACTGCGGAGCAGCTGCAGTTGGCGTCGCTGCCGATAATCGTGCCACCGTTGTCGCGGGAGTGTTACAGCGATTGTATGAATGCAGTCAAGTTGCACAATAAGCTAGCCAGTGATCAAACCTCCCCGAAGCAGAGGCACGGGGGCTTGAGGCGAGGTGCCCTGATCCATATGCGCGATAACAAGTTTGTCCCAGCTGTTCACACGCCTGCTCATCGTAAGATGGAAGTCATAGATCGCCCGCCGCAGCCAGAACGCAGAGCAAGCCAGGCCAATTGGAGAGCGGACCGCGAGGCTAAACAGGCCATCGAGATTCACTCCCGTCCGTCCGGTGCCGAAGTCCAGCAGTTAGATTGGGCTCTCGAACAGGTCCAACGATGCGCTGGGCTCACGGCGGAAGTTTTACCGCTGTTTCCGAGGGCCTCCCATCAGAGGCCCCCTCGGCGCGCGAGGCCCAAGAAGGTCTTTAACAAAGCCGCGTCCTGGCACTCTCGGCAGAGTTGTCTGCGGGGTTTTAGGTGCTCGCTGTGTCTTGCTTTCTTCGGCGGGCGGGCCAGCGAGCGCCCCGAGCAAGGACGCGAAGGATTCCCCGATAGAGTGGCTGAGCTTTCGGCGTCGGCGCCTGACCACGGCCACAAGCTCGCGAGCACACAAGTGTGGAACGAGGCTCTTCTGCTGTTCTTCTGCATGGCGCGCGGTGCGTACTCGCAACGCAAGACAAGAAGCCTGGCGGCTCGATGCATGCCAGGCAGTTTGCGCAGTGGAGGCCAAGTCCTTTCGAGGCTTCGTCGGGGCCCCCACCCTTTGCGCAGCGCTGCGGTCTCCTGCGCCGAACCTGAAGAGCAGGTTCACAGGCAGGAGGCCGACGTTGTCTTGCAGGTGGCTCGCAAGGGTGCTATATCGGCCTCTGCCGCCCCGCTACCATGCTTGGAAGCTATCCGCGCCCGCATAGCGGCGCGGGAAGCTGCGAGGATGGTGCTGTGAATTGGCAACTGTCAAACTGGTCGGGCAACGGTGCCCCCCCCCAAAAATATATATATATATATATATATATACATATATATATATATATCAAATTGTTGACGCATCTTTGACTTTCGTCGCCCTTTGGTTGTCGGCGGTCTTTTGGCTTTCGGAGCCTTCCTGTCGCCCCAGGGGGGAGGGCTTTCCAAGCCGCTCTCCTCCTTTAGCCGCGCAGGGAGGGAGGCGGGAGGGGCTTCCGGCAGGGATCGCCCAAGGGAAAGGGGCGTCCATGTGGTCTTCGGGGCCGCTCCGGTCTTCGGCGCAGCTTTGGTCTTCGGCGTCGCGCTAGTATTCGGCAATGTGTGGGTTCTTGGGGCATCGTTGGTTCTCGAGGTCCTAGGTTTTGTTGGCGCTCTGTCGGTGTTCGGCGGATCGGAGGTTTCCAGCGTCTGATCGGGCTTCGGCGCCCTACTGGTTTTTGGCGCTCCTGTGGTCTTCGGCGCACTTGTAGTTTTTTCCGCGCCGTTTTGGTTTTGTTCGGGTTTCTTTGTTCGTCGGCGACACTTGTTGTTTTCGGCGTTCTTTGCGTTTGCGGCGCTCCTTTGGTTTTCGACGCCCTGTCGGCTGTCGGCGCATATTTTGATTTTTTTTCGGCGCCGTTGTGGTTGTCGGCGCTCTTCTGGGTTTCGACGCGCTGTTTTTTGGGGGGTATTCGACGCATTTTGGGGGGTTCGGCGCCTTTTTGGTTTTGGGCGCTCCTTTGGCGTTCGGTGTTTTTGGGTTTTCGGCGCCATTTGGGTTCTCGGTGCGCCTTTGGTTTACGGCGCTCCTTTCGTTTTTGCCACTCGCTTGGTTTTCGGCGCGCCATTGGTTTTCGGCGCATCCTTTGAGTGTGGCGACCTGTTGGTTGGCGGCGCCCTTCGGTTTCCGGCGCGCCTTTGGTCTTCGGCGCTTTCTTTGTTTTCGGCGCCCCTTGGGTTCCGGCGCTCGTTTCGTTTTTGGGGTTCTTTTTAGTGGCTCTTCTTTCGTTTTCGTTCTCCCTTGGGTTTCCGCGCTCTTTCGTTTTTCCGCGCTCTTTGACTTTTCGCGTTCTTTCGGTTTTCGGGGCAGCGTTGGGTTTCGCAGCTCTTTCGGTGTCCGGCGCCTGTTGGGGGGGAAGGGGGAGCTCTGCTGTCGAGCAGCAGAAAAAAAGGAGGAGGGGGTCGGAGTGCACCAACTATACACCAACACCGATCCTGGCCCAGGATCACCCTGGGCCCAGGATCGGTGTATATGCCTTCTTGCGCAAGGCAGGAGGGCGTATACACCGATCCTGGGCCCAGGGTGATCCTGGCCAGGATCGGTGTTGGTGTATAGTTGCTGCCTTCCTAGGGGGAGGGGGGGGGGCTTCCTGCGGGGGAGGACCCGAGGGGAGGGGGGGCTAGCTGCCCCATCCCCCTTTGGGAAAGGGGGGACAGGGCAGGGGGGGCGGGGGGAGCCTGCGGCGCGTCAAAGGCGGGGAGGGAGGGGGTTTCCGGGAGGTTCCAGGCGGGGGCAGCTACGCCCCCCCCCCTTTTTGGGAAAGGACGGGGGGGGTAGCTTCCAGAGCGCGAAGGAGGGGGGGGGGGGGGGGAGCTTCTGAGGGGCGGAAAAAAGGGGGACTTCCGTCGGGGGAGGTTCAAGGGGGGGAGCAGCCAAGCCTCCACCCCCCTTTGGGAAAGGAAGGGGGGGGGGGAGCTTCCAGAGCGCGAAAGCGGGGGGTGTAGCTTCCGAGGGGCGAAAAAAAAGGAGGGGGGTTCCCGCTCAAAGGGGGGGGGGGGGGGTAGCTAAGCTCCCCCCCCCCTTTGGAAAGCAAGGGGGGGGAGGGGGGGGGGGGGGGGGGAGGGGCGCTTCGGGAGCGCGAAGGAGAGGGGGGGGTAGCTTCCGAGGGGGCGAGAACACAGGAGGAGGGTGGAGGCGTCCGGCAGCGCAGGGTCAAGGTGGGGGGAGGGCAGCTAAGGATGACGCCCCCCTTTTGGGAGTGCGTTCCACTACTCGCACAGTGCCTACTCGCAAACGTCCGAAAACAAAAACACCTGCCTGCTTCGATGTATTTTTTTCTTGGATCTTCCACGGCGAATCCAGGTCACTTGCGAGTAGTCACCTTGCGAGTACTGGAGCGCGCTTGTCTACCCCCTGTGGGAGTGCGCCGTGGGCGCGCCCTCTCTCAGGCATATGCCCCCTTCGCAGCCCCGGCCAGGCAGAGGCCGCCGAGACGGGACGGAGAAGGGGAAAAAGCGGGAGGGAGGCCGAGGTCGGGCGAGGCGTCTTTTTGCAGGCACGGGGGCCAGAAGGCCCACCGGTCAAGGGCGTAAGAAACGCCCCTACCCTGGTTTACGAGGCGCTGTGCGCTGAAACTCCTGTGGGCTGACAGGGTAAACCCTGCGTGATGTGCCGCGTCCTGGCGGCTCTAGGCTTTGGGGGTTCCCAGGAGGTTTACAGACCACGCACTTGTAACCCAGGGTAGGGTCGTTTTTTCATCCCTCAAACCGGGTCAAGAAGCATGCCGAGGCTATGCATTGCGATGCTACGCCATATTGTGATGCGCCATAGTATGGCGTGCTAGTTAGCCGTGCCATGAATTGATTCGTCGGTGTTACGCCGTGCATCGCTGTATTGTGCAACTTGTTGCATTGTATGGTGCTGAGTCGCTTTGACTTGCACGTGTACGTATGCCTTCAGCAGATCAGGAATAGCCCTACTTGGGGCCGCGCCTGATTGACATAATGATCCTGGCCTCTCAGGAGCATCCTTGAGAGGACCAGGGGCCACCTCAGAGCCATCAAAGTGCCTTGTGCCACATATCGAAGGTCATTCAGGGCTATCCTGGGCTACCCTGGGATGCATCTGGGGCCATCTTGACCCCCCCCCATGGCCGCCTCGCGGCCCCGCCCGTGCAGATCCCCTGGGAGTGGATATTGGGAGGGACCAAACGTTCCTCTCTTCCAGGAAGGGAAAGAAGGTGTGTGTTGGAAGATTTGATCTGCTTGACCTTTAACCACGCCTGGGGGATTGGCCAGATTACCTCGCCCACAGCCCAGTTATCGCCTCCATTGACCTCGTGGGTCTAGCCGAGGTGAGCTTCAGCACCAGAACAGAATTTCAGGCGATCAGGCTCAGGGAAACAGTCGAAGCTTCCCGAGCCCGTTTCGATGTCTCCCTCTCCTCTTCTTTCCGCTTGCTCTTTCATGGGCAGTTTTGGCTAACATTTTCAAGCGAGGCCCTACATGTAGCGGCACGGCAATTACAGGCGATGCCCCGCCGCCCAAACATCATGTCTCCTGTGGTCGATGGCAGAGTAGAGAGCGCGCCTATGGCTGCGTCCCCAGGCTCCCCACTAAGGGTTCCACCAGTCTCGACGGCGTCCCCAGCGCTAACGACCAGGTCTACAGTCACAGTGACCGACATGCGGGTATGTTCGCCGTGTAGATCGGTGGCGCAGTCGCCACCGAACGGCGCTGGTCAGGAGATATGTCGCGCAGCTCGTGAGGGCGACCAGCCCTTTGATAACGCCGAGGTTGAGGATCACTGCACGACCGCGGCAGACTCCATGCGGACCATGCCAGCACATGTCCGACGCGTGACGACGACAAGTGCTCTGAGCTCTCAAACGCAGGGCAGCCCCGTCAGGGACCAGATGACAAAGGCTTCCAGCATCATGATGGACGTGATGAGGCTCATGTCGAAGACGGGCTACATCTCCACGTCTGGCAGCAACTTAAGCCTGACACCAGCGACCATCGTGAGGGAGCAGCACGAGGCCGACGACGAGGCCCGCATGCCGACTCGGAGGTGTGGCGTGTCAGTTGCTGTGGTGGGCGCGGCCTTCTTTGCGCTGATATCCGCTGCGTGTTTGGGGGTGGTGCTCGGCTTCTTCGAGCACCACGGCCGTATGCTCGCAGAGAAAGCGGAAGGCGTGTTCAGGCGATACGCGGAGCAGTTGCATCTGCGCCCAGACGATCCCGTCACGCAGTCTGCGATCGAGCAGGGCGTCCTGGAATTGCAGGACGAGTTGCAAAGCATGTGCGACGCTACCCGCCTCATGATCGTCGTCGCGCTCCTCATCGTACTTGGGGTTGGTACAGCTATTGTGGGCACAGTCGGCATCTTGATGTCGCGGAAGTTGAGACTGCTGGGCAAGCTTAACGAGCTCATGGAAAAGTTGAGCACCCTCAATCTCTCAATGGACTCCGAAGAGTTTTCGAGGTTTTGCCGCGGCAGACGCTCGAACATGCACGAGATTGCGCAGCTGCAAGACACGTTTGACCGCCTCACCAAATGTATAGTTCTGTTCGCGCGTTTTGTCCCAGAGACCGTGGTGCAGCGCATAGTGCATGGAGACAGGCGGGCCACAAGGTTATATGTGGATAATCGCTGTGCGACGATAATGTTTTCGGACATCAAAGACTTCACCAGCCTGTCGGAGCAGTTTGCCCACCTCAACCCACGCAGTATGCTCTTCCTCCTAACGCGATACTTTTCCGTCATGACGCACATCGTGGAGGCGTATGAAGGTACGGTGGGTGAGATACTCGGGGATGGCCTCCTTGTCTTCTGGAATACTCCGGAGAGCGTGCGCAACCATGCCACCAAGGCATGCGCCGCCGCACTGGCGCAGCAGGTCGCGCTCAAGTACCTCAACCAGCACTTCGCGTCCATGGGTCTGCCGCAGCTGGAGATCCGAATTGGGCTGCACACGGGGCAGGTGCTCACGGGAAATTTCGGCAGCCTCACCAAGATGAAGTTCGGCTGCATGGGCGACACCGTAAATTTGGCGAGCCGGCTCGAAGGGCTTTGCAAGGTGTACGGCGTGGGCATCGTGTGCTCTGGCAGCACCCACGGGGCCCTGGCCCAGAAGCAGGGCTTCTTGTGCCGCAGGCTGGACAGGGTGAAGGTGAAGGGCCGGGACGAGCCCACTGAGGTCTACGAGGTGATAGGGCGTGACGAGACCTCCATTCTGCCTGCCGCTTTCCAGGAGGCGGCGGACTCAGCGGCAGCTCATGTCAGCAACGCTGGCACTGTGCACAGCGTTGGCTGCAAAAGGTCGGCACGCTTTTCGCGCGGCAGCAGTCTGGCTCCCCGAATCCAAGATGTGGTCATCGAGGCCATCGGTGGGCTGTATGCGCTGTGTCGAGGGGTCAACGACGGGCTGGAGTCCATCTGGGATGACTTGAGCTTCGAGGAGGACGTGGGGAAACCAAACAATGTTAATATTATTATCTGCAAGGGCTTCGCCCCCTGCCGCCTGCCCCCTCTCTGTCAGAATGGAAAATATCAGAGTCGCATCGGTGCGTCTCGGCGCTGCCTTGGCGCATCTGGGAACATCATGCGGGGGCGGATAGGAATCATCAGCACATATTGAGACGTTGATGTAATGCTAGTGGTTGTTGGCCCATCTTGCCACCGTGTCTGGGTTGTGGGTCTGAGGCCTCTTGTATATGTGTTGGGGTATCGTGGGGAGCCTCTCGGGGGCCTCTTGGAGGCGGTTTGGCCGCCTCTTGGCGGTCTCTTGGGGCCTCGTGGGGTATTTTGGGGGCCTCTTGGGGGCCTCTTGGGGGCCTCTTGGGGGCCTCTTGGGCGCGTCTTGGGCGCCTCTTGGGGCCTCTTGGGGCGTCTTGGCGGCTTCTAGGCGCCTCCTGGGGCTTCTCGGGACAAAAATGTAAAATGTTCGGTTCGTGGTCCCCTGCTTGGGCCCCTCTTGGGGCCGTCTTGGAGCCCTCTTGGGCCGTCTTAAGGGCTTCTTGGGCCATCTTGGAGCTCCCTTAGGCCGTCTTGGGGCCCTCTTGGAGGCCTCTTGGGCTGGCTTGGGGCGGTCTTAGGAGCTTCTTGAGCCGTCTTGGAGCGTCGGAAAGCAGCACATGCGAGAAGGCCGAAATCCTTCAATAACTTCCGTAAAATCAGCCGTGTTGAGCTCTTGGGGCTCTCTCAGGAGGCCTCTTTGAGCGCTCTTGGGGCCTCTTGCGGTCCTCTTGGGCCGTCTTGGAACCATCTTCGGGCGCCTTGGAGCACTGTTGGCCTCGGCAATGCAAATATGGCGTAATCTGCAGAGGATTATGGCCTCGGGGACGCGAACATTGCGGGTTGTTGCCTCAGGGACCAACAATCGAAATATGCTGCAAAGGTTGATTGCCCTGGGGACGCGGATATCTATATCGGATTATGGCTTCGGGGACGCGAATCTTTTAATTTACCAGGGCTTGTGGCCTCGGGAACCCAACATGTTGTAATTTACCGAAGGTTCGTGGCCTCGGGGACGCGACAATTATATAATGTATAAGGGATCACGGCCTCGGGGGCGCGAATCTCAAGTATTTTTACGTGTTCCACGCCCCCCCGGGAAAGTTAATTGCTCTTTTGGGAGACCCCCTCGCGCGGACTTCAACAATGTACAATTGGAAGCAGAAGGCAGGACTGTAACATTGGAGACTTGAAACTGCCACTGCTCCGGGGAGCAGCAACTTCGGCCTACAGCCTGGTGGCCCCACAGGGGGGCCGGCGGATTCTTCGATGGATTTGTCCTGGGGTGCGTTCTGATTAAAACTTCGATGCGAATCCAGCCGTGGCGACGAGGGCCTCCCAGGAGACCCAAAAAGGCGAAAACGACGGAATTGTAGCGGTATCAGTACAGTGCCATTTTTTATACATGCTCCGCGTGCGGATCATGTATAACAAATGCAGGGACTTAGTATCAAAACTCATATGTTTAAACAAAACTCCGATGTATTAAAAACTGCCTTGTACATCCCCCTCTGAGGACGAGCACATGAGCGTACTGACCAGCTCAATAGGCCTCGTGGGTGCCGTGCGGGAGATGTCGATCACGGCCGAGCAGCACTCGAGGGCCGCCAGGTACGAGGACGCCCTGACCGCCCTGCAGCAGGGGGAGTTCTCGGTGGCCTACCGGCTGGCCAGCGAGCTGCTGGAGGACACCCCGGGCGACTTGGCTGCCGCCAGATTGCGCGACATGGCGAACGATGGATGCATGTGCAGACAGATGACTTGAACGGCTAACCTCCTTTACAGTAGAGTGTCCTCGCATCTGGCAGCTACGTAGAGCAGATTCGTGAACACATGATTCCGAAGCTGGCACCATTGACGTGGTGGTGTCCACCTCCGCCTGAGAACTCAGAGCCTGCTAGGAGGTTTGGGCAGACGCACACAGGGAAGCGACTGCTCTTCGAGGGGTCGCCGTGCAGGCAGTCCTCGCGGCACCGCCCCATGCTGCGTACACCGCTTCGTCGCCTTTTTTTGTTTTGCCGGGGAGCTGGCGCATCGAAGCACGGCTGCAGGCACAGTCAGCCAGCCTGCGGCACTTCTGCCCCCCTGCCCGCGCCCGCACCCGTGCCCGCCTCCCTCGGCCCTCTCCCCGCCGCCCCGCGGCCCTCCCCGCGTGGCCTCCCGGCCCGGCGCGTGCGTTGTGCACAGCCAGACAGCCGCACACGCTCTAGGCCGGAGGTCTCCTCACCGACGCTGGCAGCTTCGCGGCGGTTTTCGGACGTTCTCGTCGCTTCGCGGCGGCTTTCCAGCCTCGGGATGCGCTCCGGCAGCTGCGCCTCGCCGAGGGTGTTTCCGGGGGGGCCGAAGTCGTTCCAAGCGGCTGCCGGAGGCCCGAACTACGATCCGAAAACCATCAGGGCGCCGCCCGCCCCGGAGCTGGAGCCCGCCGAGGGGTCGGGGCGCGCGTATCGGGGGCGGAAAAGAGGGGGGTGATGACTAGGGGGGGGGGGATAACATGGCGGGGGCCATGATTGTTTCCCCAGATTTCATGGCGCCTCTTCTCATTTCATTACGTCCCTGGCCCCCCCCGCTGGGCCGCGCACATGTCGCCGGTCATGATTTGCACCCCCCCCTCTTGGACACCCCCCTCTTGGCCGCTCCCGAAGACCTCTACTGATCGATGAATCATTTTCGGCCAGGCGCTTGCTGCACGGGAGGGGTGTACAGCGCTCTCTCGGCCAGGCGCCCTTGTGCCACACGGCGCTCGGCGCGCCTTCCTGCTGGACGCGCAGGGCACTCTCCGCGGGCTCTCTCCGCACGATCGTGCGACGCCGGGGCGCGCGCCAGGTCAGCGAGGGACGCACTCGGTAATGGCCTGACGAGCCGCAGAACAACTGTGGAGGTGACGCTCTGGTGTGGAAACTGGTACGACGCGACGATGGCGAACAGCGGCCCGAATGTCAAGCACACGGCAGCCACATCACGACGCGCCGATGACAGGACATCGGAGGTTGGGGGCTGAGATCGCATCGGAACGGAGGCCCCCAACCAGGAAATCGTTCCGTTCCGTTCGTGCCGTGCGTGCGGGCGGGGCGAGGCTGCGTGGGCGCGCGAGAGGAATGAACCCGCCGCTGCTAGGGCGAAGTCAGGACAAATGATTCTCCCCCGCCCACCCGTCCGGCAGTGGCTCGCGGTGTCCCGTGGTGTCCCGTGGTGTCCCGTGGTGTCCGTCGTTGCTAGGGCGAAGTCAAGACAAATGATTCTCCCCCGCCCGCCCGTCCGGCGGTGGCTCGCGGTGTCCCGCGGTGTCCCGTGGTGTCCCGTGGTGTCCCGTGGTGTCCGCCATTGCTAGGGCGAAGTCAAGACAAATGATTCTCCCCCGCCCGCCCGTCCGTCCGTCCGTCCGGCGGTGGCTCGCGGTGTCCCGCGGTGTCCCGCGGTGTCCCGTGGTGTCCCGTGGTGCCTTGTTGAGTGAGATCGATAGTGAGATCGATAATTAGTGAGATCGATGTGGTGCCCCGAGGTGTCCCGTGGTGTCCCGTTGAGTGAAATCGATAGTGCAATCGATAGTGAGATCGACAGGTGTCCCGTGGTGTCCCGTGGTGTCCCGTTGAGTGAGATCGATAGTGAGATCGATAGTGAGATCGATGTGGTATCCCGTGGTGTCCCGTGGTGTCCTATGGTGTCCCGTTGTTTGAGATCGATAGTGAGATTGATAGTGAGACCGATAGTCAGATCGAGAGGTGTCCCGCGGTGTCCCGTGGTGTCCCATGGTGGCCCGTGGTGTCCCGTTGAGTGAGATCAATAGTGAGATCGATAGTGAGACCGACAAGTGTCCCGTGATGTCCCCTGGTGTCCGATGGTGTCCCGTTGAGTTAAATCGATAGTGAGATCGATTGAGTCAGATGTTGGTTTCCCCCCTCTCCCCCCCACACAACCTCCTTGTCACCCGAAGGGTGGTCGAATAGATATGTCGTGTATGATGCCCAGTCGTGATGTAGAAGGGCACGTCGATGCAGTTGGTGAATACTGCACAGGCAGTATGGGTGACATAGCCACCTGTACAGGACGCCAAACGCACCCTCCCACCAGGCAGACGTCCGCGCAGCGCAGACTACAACTGGAAACGTTTCCAAATTTTCAACCATCCAGCGCTGGACGCGGCCTTGGAACTGAGCCCAATGGATCCTCCTGTGGTGGTGAGAGAGAGAGAGGCCAGCATTTCTACGGAGGCGCGCTTGGTATCTAGGTCACCGCTGAATGCACCTGCGCGTCTGTGTGGGCCATCGAATCCTGGAAGGCCCATTCGACACCGAACTCCGATGCAACATCTAAGTGTTTTTGTGCGGCACTGTCTCCCCGAAACAGCGTTTGAGTCCACATTCATGTTCAAACATACATCCGTACAGCTTGTTTGCCGAACTTGCTCCCCCAGGCAATTCCTACGGAAACACACTGGCATTTCACGTCACAGTCGCACCACCCCCAGCGGAACCTTCGACCCCTGGATGGAATTGTCGGGTTCGCTTCGTATTCTTGATGGGGGAAGCCAGTTCCGACCGGGCACCCGAAAGCACACTCCTGGAGGAATACATGCGTCGCTCGCGCGAGAAATCATGACTCATTCCGAATTGCCTTGTCCCCAGAACACAATTACGCAGCCGTGCAGTGCCTTCAGTAAGAGAGAAGTGCTTGGATGATTTAGAAGTCCAGAACCACCAACATACGTATTGTTTGGATTGAGCTTTTGATTCTCGGGGCCCCAGAAAAATATTGGTCAGTACGTAGCACCCCGCAGATGTGGATAAGAGTGAGGGGGCGGTGGGGACGTCGGCAGTCTGCGAGACTCTGAAGAAGCCCACCGCAGGCGCCGATTTTTTCGTTCAACCAATGTGGGTAGGTCGCGGGTGGGTCGCAAATGGGTGGCGGCTGGGTCGCGGCTGGGTCGTTGTTGGGTCGCGGCTGGGTCGCGGCTGGGTCGCGGGGTGGGTCGCGGCTGTGTCGCGGATGGGTCGCGGGGTGGGTCGCGGGTGGGTTGCGGGGTGGGTCGCGGGTGGGTCGCGGGGTGGGTCGCGGGTGGGTCGCAGGTGGGTCGCGGGTTGGGTCGTATGTGGGTCGCGGGGTGGGTCGCGGGGTGGGTCGCGGGTGGGACGACGACAATTAAACAAACAAACAAATGAACAAACAAACAAACAAACGAACAAACAACAATACCAAGAACAACAACACCAACACCAACAACCACAACAATAACAACACCACCACCAACAACAGCAACAACAACAACAACACAACAAGCATAATCCTCACCACGGATCCCCACTTCAGCGACGCACCTAGGGACAATGAATGACCATTCGGCTCCCTCACTCTGACAACGAGCCCGCCGCAGGTGCCGTTTTCTTCGTTAAATCGATGAGGGTAGGTTGCGGGTAGGTCGCGGGTGGGTCGTGTCGCGGTCGGATCGCGGGTGGACCGCGGGTGGGTCGCTGTTGGGTCGCGGGGTGGTTCGCGGGGGGGTGGGTCGCGGGAGGGTGGCAAATGGGTCGCGAGTGGGTCGCGGGTGGGTCGCGGACGGGTCGCGGGGTGGGTCGCGGGTGGGTCGCGGGGTGGGTCGCGGGTGGGTCGCGGGTGGGTCGCGGGTGGGTCGCGGGTTGGGTCGCGGGGTGGGTTGCGGGGTGGGTTGCGGGGTGGGTCGCGGAGTGGGTCGCGGGTGGGTCCCGGGTGGGTCGCTGGGTGGGTCGCGGGGTGGGTCGCGGGATGGGTCGCGGGGTGGGTCGCGGGTGGGTCGCGGGGAGGACGACGACAATAAACAACAACGACAACAACAACAACAACAACAACCAACAACAACAACAACAACAACAATCATTTAAGACTGGGGACACTCCGTTCTCACCAGTGCCAGGGTTTTCATAGGAGGCGGGCAATACCCCCACTTTGTGGGGGGGCCGGTTCAAGCTCTACCAAGTTTCCAAACGACTCTTCGCCACCACCCACACCCAGCTTCCCGCCCTATGACGTTCGGACACTTCACTTCGTGGCCTGCGGACGACCTTGGCTACTACACTGGCGCATGGGTACAGTGACTTGTTGTGGTAACATTTTGTGGAAGCTAGCTTAGTATACGACTTTTCCCCCTGTTCCAACACTGGACACCTGTACCGTTTTCCGACGTTTTTCCGTTTCTGTACCACACAAGCGAAGACACTTATTTTGAGTGGTACCACGTGCGTGGCGCCAGCATACCACAGGACTTGTTTCCGTTGTTGTGAGACGATACATGCTCATTCTTGTTCTGTGGTTGTCGTTCCGGCCTCAATGTGCAATACTGGCTCATTCGTCTACGAAATACACGTGACTAGCTCTCTCTGGTTGGAGGTCCTGATGGTTGTGGTTGTCCCGATGGTTGTCGCGATGATTGTCCCGATGATTGTCCCGATTGTTGTTCCGATGGTTCTCCCGATGGTTGTCCCGATGGTTGTCCCGATCGTTGTCCCGATGGTTGTCCCGATGGTTGTCCCGATGGTTGTCCTGATGGTTGTGGTTGTCCCGATCGTTGTCCCGATGGTTGTCCCCATGGTTGTCCCGATGGTTGTTCCGATGGTGGTCCCGATGGTTGTCCCGATGTCAGCGATGCCGGATCCTCACGCCCCCCGCCGGAGGAGGAGGAGGAGGAGGAGCAGGACAAGGCGCGGCGGCTCTGGACACATACGTGCTCTGGAGACATACTAAAGAGACGAGTCTTTGTGCTCATCATCTTCTGGCATACGCCTGTCTCTAATGGCGCGCATCGGGCGCAATACTGCAAGCTGCGCTCCTGGCAGCAATACATCAGGGGCCAAGTGTCCAAGCATTGTGCCGATACGCCTCCTCGCGGATACATCGCCCGTGCGTGCGTGGGGCGCCAATACCGCCAGGACGCCCTGGACATGCGCCGGCATACCCAGATCCACCTGGTAATCCATGACATTCCCATACTCGGACTGCCCGAAAGAACGCCATACTGGCATGTGCCACCAATGGTCCTGCTTCGGGAAATAGGTGATACCATCCTTGACGTCGTCGGAGGCATTCCACAGAGCCATAGATGGCGGCTCCATACCCATGGATCCCGTGTGTGTTGCCACAAATACATCCAGGCTCGCCATGCGCCTGTATGACAGACCTGATACCACCTCGGAATGCACGTGAATACGCAGGAGCTGCAACAGCCTGCGCAAGCCAGCATACACCCAGCCGCCGTGCCCGACGAAGACGTGCGATCTCCAGTTCGCTATACCGGCTTGGGTGCACAGCCGATGGAATACTTCCGAAAGTGTGCCCAGATACTTCGCGGCTGAATCTGCGAAACCAGAAAAGTTGCCGAATACCAAGCCAGGGTAGAAGTATACCGCGAACGCCATCCACTCTGGGGTCTGGATGCCTCCCATACGGCGCTGGTTCTCGACCATACCGTTCTCCTTGGACTGGCGCGTACTCTCCGGCGTCGAGAGGCAGAGGCATACACCCGTGAGTCCCTGCCACATACACGGAAAGTACACAGCAGTCGCGAACCACGTGGTCTCGCGCAGCACCTTTCAGGAGAGACAAAAGTACCACTACCACCAGCTAGGGGGGTGGCCGCGCCTTCCCCTCGAGCTGGTGGCACCTCGTTCCGGGCACTCTCTGGAGGCATACCCGGAAGGAGGTGCCACCAGCTCGAAGATGGAGCGGCCACCCCCCTAGCTGGTGGTAGTGGTACTTTTGTCTCTCCTGAACCTTGAGCCAGTGGAATACCAACCCGTCCCCGCCGGGTGGCATAGCCCAGCGCCTCATACCCTCGGCCACCTCCTCGTTGGATGGGGTATACTCCCCAGTCTGTTCGTCCCACTGCCCTGCCATTGCCAACAATGCGGACGCGCGTGTGTATATGGAAAGAGATACGGAAAGCGAAATACGACTGGAGCACAAATGGCTAAGGCAAACGAATGATGCTGTGGGAAAGTGCCAAAGTCCATACGAACAGAAACGAAGCACATACATGTGTCACACTGATAAGACAACTCACACTCACAAGCAGGTTAGTCAACACATTGGCACATGATACATTTGATACATATTGCACATGATACATATGATAAACATGAGACAAGGACACACAACAGTTGGTCACATTTTTGGGGCAAATTTCAGACACATGCATTTGTTATATATGATACATATTGCACATGATACATATGATAGACATGAGTCAAAGATACACAACAGTTGGTCACATGTTTGGGGCAAATTTCAGACACATTCATGTGTTATATATGATACATATTGCACATGATACATATGATAGACATGAGACAAAGACACACAACAGTTGGTCACATTTTTGGGGCACATTTCAGACTCATGCATTTGTTATAGATGATATTGCACATGATACATATGCTAGACATGAGACAAAGACACACAACAGTTGGTCACATGTTTGGGGCAAATTTCGGACACATGCCTTTGTTATATATGATACAGATTGCACATGATACATATGATAGGCCTGAGACAAAGACACACAACAGTTGGTCACATTTTTGGGGCAAATTTCGGACTCATGCATTTGTTATATATGATACATATTGCACATGATACATATGAAAGACATGAGACAAAGACACACAACAGTTGGCCACATTTTTGGGGCAAATTTTAGACACATGCATTTGTTATGTATGAGTCATATTGCACATGATACATATGATAGACAGGAGACAAAGACACACAACAGTTGGTCACATTGTTGAGGCAAATTTCAGACGCATGCATTTGGTATATATGATACATATTGCACATGATACATATGATAGACATGAGACAAAGACACATACACATGCATTTGTTATATGTGATACATATTGCACATGATACATATGATAGACATGAGACAAAGACACACAACAGTTGGTCACATTTTTGGGGCAAATTTCAGACGCATGCATTTGTTATAGATGATACATATTGCACATGATACATATGCTAGACATGAGACAAAGACACACAACAGACGGTCGCTGAAATACCTCCTGGCACTTTAACATGGCATACGCAGCAATAAGACAAGCGTCCGCCGCCATTTTCGGGAATACTATGCAACCGTCAGCTGTCGCCACGCTGCAAGCTCTCGCATACCAGCCTTGCTCTTTGTCGGAGATACACGCGTGTGCAGTCCTCGGCAGCACCTGGCCCAGGAAGGTCCTCTCGTAGGCCTCCACCACAGGACCTGGCAGCGCATCCTTGTATACGAAGGCACCTAGATACTCGAGTGCCAACTTGGCATGCCGTTCGTGGTCACCAAAAAATACCGATAGATTCTGCAAAGGCAC